AACCACCAGGACTGCACTTCCATTTGTGTCAGCGAGTGATGAGGGCACAGATTGAATTTTAGCTTACTGGTCCTCCAAGTCCTGGAGATATTGCCTTATAATTTGCAATTTCCTAAGTAGATAACATTTGGTCTATATCACACCTGCTTGAAAGTAGTACAAATCTCTTATAGCTTTTGTGAGACTAAGTGAGTTAATACATAAACCTACTAAGTATAGTATCTGGTCCGTGGTAATTACTCAGTAAATGTTACTTAAAATGATACGTAGTGACTTACACTTATGCCCTAGAAGGACTGGCTGAACTAGCTGGGTCTTTGTACCTTGGGCAGTTTAAAAACTGACTGACACCTTTCCTTAAAATAAGAGACTTGAGGGCCCTCCCTGGTGGCGCAGCGGGTTAAAAAGCACAGCACTAAGAAGCAAAAGCCACTTCCGCATGAGTTCGATTCCCACCTGCCCCGGAGGAGATCCACATAGCAAGGCAGACCTCTCCTGACCCACCCGCTGCTTCGTGTACTTCATCGATCTGCCTGTTCTGCTCCCCACTCTGTCTCTGGTGAATCCTCTCACACTCCACATCTCTGGCCTGTATCCCAGTTCCATATGAATAAATAAATAAATCTTTAAAAAAAAAAGAGATTGATCAAAATGAGGACTGATGTGTACAGAGTGCAAGTAGGATGATTTTGATAACGAGTTAACAAGAACGTTTCTGATTGTATCAACTGTCAAAAATGGAATAAGGCACTAAGTATAGTGTATCCTTTGTTCTGCATCTAGTTCATGTACTACCCAGATACAGTAATCACTTCTTCTGTGTCACATCTCAACTCCAAGCCTGGGTCATTTGCCTTGTTCCCCAGCCAGAGTAGGAAGTTGACATCCCTTCAAACAGAATTTCACTGATGTGAGACAAGCAATGAGAAGGAGCTGGCAGGTGAATTGCTGATCCCCGCTAGCAAATTCTTCCAAGTTGCTGCTGTTTCATTTGTCTACTCTGGAGACCAGGAACAACTACATAATTAATGAGGCTTCATGCAAAATGAAAATGCAGGGCATCATTTCAAAAAAGTATTAAGAATTTAAAAATGACAATAATAAAGCATTAAACAAAGTACAGTGCTCTTCTAAGCATGAAGCCTTGTACAAACTGTGCAGGTTACATCCCCATGAAGTTATCCTTGACAAACAATTTGAGATACTACACAACCAGCTGTAGTGCTTGTAAAGTGATGACCAGTTCAGTGACTTCCCCTGTTATATTTGCTTTTGTTTTCCCTCATGTCCATTTCTCTGGGATTGCTCTCTACCACCATCCCCAAAAGACCAAAATACGCATGCTTTGTCTTAATCTCTGTGTTCTGGGAACTTAGACTAGGATTCTGTTTAACCTGAGTTTTTCAGATTTGAGAGGCTGGTGCAAATCTTCTTTAATTTCATTCTTACTCGAAGATGCCATAGTTCCACCAATTTAAAGATATATGTTTTATATTAATGGTAGTGCTCATTTACTATAGTCATAAATTTTGCACATGGGCTAGAATTCTTGAATTATTACATCTCCAGTACATTATCCTACTGTGTCCAAGCATAAATTAAGTATTCATTAAAGGGGAATAATAGAATAGCCTAATATAGAATGGTGTACCTTTACTTATCTTTTTGACCCTCATTCTCACTTTCCCATTTATCTGAGCATCTCTTTCAGTGCTCCCTCCTATATAGATTAGACTGATTTCAACTCCCTATTTCCTTACCATACTTACGTAATAATAAATATGACGGCATTTCACCATTCATTCTTTCTAAGTTGCATGTACATTCAATTTCAGAAGTGGTATATAAGTTTAAGTCTGTTCCAGGTTTTCTTGAAATATAGTAGCCCTTCATATCGTCTGGGGAATAAGTTCAAGAACCCTAGCAGATTCCATGAAAGCATGGATAACATGGAAACCTGTATATACTATGTTTTTTCCTACACACACATACATACGACAAAGTTTAACTTACAAAGCTGTCACAGTAAGAGATTAACAGCAGGTAATAATAAAATAGAACACCTTTAACTATATACTGTAATAAAAGCTTTGTGAAAGTAGTCTTTCTCTCTCTCTCTGAAAATATCTTATTGCATGTAACATTTTTTTGTATTAAGGTTGAAATAATGTTCCCAGTGGCTACACTGCTCAGGATCAATGAGAAGCCATGGACTACTATATACATATTTGTTGAACAAATACTTCTGGAGTGCCATACATAACATACTGATAAGTTCTGAGGTATAAGCAAAGGATTAGATGTAGATCTTACTATTAAGTATCTTGAGGCTTCATAGCAGAGTCTTTGTGTTTATGACACAAGACTAAAATGACTTGAATCTACATCAAAAGGTTCCGTTAGTGCCTGGTTGATGAGCACCCAAGGACTTCAAACTCTTACTATCCATGCTTTAAGAGATGCAATTTAGCCATCCACTACATAAAGGCAAAGGAAGCAACCTCCTGAAAGATCAGTGCACATCAGGGAGAAAAGATAATAGTTTCCCAGTAAAATCTCCCAAATTACCAATCCACTAGTGAACAAGTGCCTAGCCAAACAGATTGGGCCTGAAGCAGGGCCACTGAGGCCGGAAAGCTTGCCCCCAAACCCTCTGGCATATCTGGCAGGGAACCAAAATATAGGGGTGATACAGGTCTGGGGCAGAAGAAGAGATGCAAAACTCAAGGTAAAGGCTGTCACTGCCTCTGTCAAGGGTACACAAACCAAGTGGCTCTCACGCATGTATCTCTTCCACATCTCTCCTCCATGTGTCTCCAGCATGTTTACTCTGCAGCAGTACTAGGTTTCAAGTGGGGCTGCAGAAACAAAGAGGTCCATGCCTGTATATGTTAAGTTAATAAGTGAAAGATGGCTGGCTAAATCCACCCTATTTCTCATTAGCGCCCCTCTTAAGGAAGTCCAGTTGGTGGCATACAGGGTCTTGTAATCCAAGGTGATTGCATGTAAGTAGGAACAGCTACTTCCCCTTCATATGGCACATCTATAATGGGGATTCATGGAAGCTAGCTTAGACAAAAAGTGTCTGTAAATGGTAGACTTTGGACTAGAGCTCTGGAGGAATCAATAAGTAAGTATTTTGACATGTGAAATTGAGGAGACAAATGTTTGAAAAATAATCTATTTAGAATTCACCTTTGAAGTAAAAAAAAAGTATTTTTACAATATTAAAAGTATTCTCTTATTATGTTAGTTACCTAGATTTTTGCATGCAAAGTATCTTGATGGACTTTCTGTGTTCAATAATCAGAAGGTGAATCATCATCGTCCCTTTTTTGCTACTGGAATTGCTATTGATTTTGGTAGTACGATTAGTATTGCGACCTAAGCCTGGCCTTTGGACACATTTTGTTCATTGCAGAAAGCTATTATGAATGTATTTCTTCCATGTAATCTAAATGACATAAACAACTTGTCAATTTCTTATCTTTGGTTTTTCAGTCATGCAAGTAGAAAAGGAGAAACCTTTTGAATTATTAGTGTAAATCTACTGGAAAAACTCAAGTGAAAAAATATATTTTTAATGTCAGAGAAAATGATTTTCTCCACAGCAAACTAATTCTTTAAGCAATGATTGTGGAGCTATCGGCAAATTTTTGGCAATACAAAACTCTCAGAATTCTCCAATAAAGAATAATTTCCGAGATGGTCAAATCTAAATAAATGGAACTAAATTGGACAGACTATTTGAGATCACAATTTAATGGAAAAAATTTGTCTTCAGTGTTTATATTTGATTTTCAGTCTCTTGAACTTCTGTGTTTATTTCAGTGAATTTCTTGTCATGGAGTCATAAAGGTATATGCACCTGTGAGATGTATTTGTATCAAATGTTTGTCTTGAATTTGCCATTGGGCTCAATTTGTCAGTCTTTTGAATTTTTTATTGTAATCTTGATATGCCTCTGAAGGAATTGAAATTACTTAAAAAAAAGAAAAAGAATTGTGATATTATTCCATTTGTTTATCACAGTCCTTTAAAGATAACTGTTTTAGAGCCTGAATTTAAAAGCTGATGTCACAGGCTATCTATCAAATTCTAATATTTACCTTGTCTTTTTAACCTGAAATCTGACAAATGCTATTCAGATTGATAGATGTGTCTTCATACATAATTGGCAGACATGCAGAAATAGAGTATATATATAAAATGCTATTAAATTTATTTTAAAAAAAAAAACCTCTGGAGAAAAAAGGTATCATGACAGATCTGGAAAATGTGCTTGTATTTATAAAAGTTTGAATACAATACTTAAAATTATTGCTTGTCAATGAAGAGAGACAGAGAAAAGTGTAGAGGGTGTTGGGCTAATTAAAGCAACTAATGATAGTATTTGAAGGCATGCTGAAGCTTTGTGGGTGCATATGTGCATTGCGTTCTTTGGGTTTGCTCTAAATTCTCTATGTATCAACAGTTACTTTTCTCATCTCTATGGGTATGAAAGTACTGAACACAGGAACTTTAATCAAATTTTGCTTTATAAAGATCAGAATATTCAAAAAATATTTTATCCTTTTATATAACCTTAAATCACTTATACAGTGAAGAACATGCATTAATAAGATAAGATCTCTTTGAACTTTAGTTTCTCCTTAATCTTGAGATTGGATTTTACAGAATGAAATATTGGGAATTCCATCAATAAATTTAAATTAAAATGGACTCATTTGAACTAATGGCTGAATAAAATGGTGACATTCCCATATTAAATATGATGATTTGGTATCTTATATTACCCGATTTCACTTATTTCATGGAGAGTAGAATTTTTATGAGCAGTAATTCAGAAAAATGTGAGTTGACTTCATGGAACTATTCCCTACATTACTTGAACTGACACTGTTTTAGTTATTTTGTGGAATGGTTGGTAAATTTTTATTTATATTATTTAGTTATTTTGTGGAATGGTTGGTAAAATTCAAAATGCTTTTGTTCTTTAGTTTCAGCTCAAATCCTCAAGAGCAACCTTGCAGCAATGGAGCAAGATATTATTCATCTGGAACGTGACATCGAGAAATTACCACACGCAGAAAATAAACATGATAAGTTTGTGGAGAAGATGACTATATCCTTTATTTATTTAGGTGTTTTATTTATTTTGTATGTGTTTTTTCCTGCCTACCTACCTACTACTTACTTATATCTATATACCTATCTACCTACCATGTGGTTGGTTTGAACTTACCTGTCTGTTCACATTCAGGTAGATTTATGTATATTCTCTTTTTAATATTAGCAGTGTGAAATTTAATTCATGATATTGTGTACCATGTAGAATAGGCAAGCCTACAATTAAATTAAGGAAAAGTAATAGTTCTCAAAGAATTTCATGTGAAGATCCAAAGATATGCAAGGTAAGTTTTATGAGATTTGATTAATACCAAAACAAAACAAACTATATTTTTATGTAACCAGTTGGTATAAGGTAATGATCAACAGATTTATTTTGTCCAGACCTTTTTTCTAAATTCTCTTTGTGTGTGCAGGTATTTTCTGACAGCACATGTGCATTTTCAAGGGTAATCAGAGGATGACTAGTCTCAGTAGACTGAAAAGGTTTTGAAGGATAAAATGGAGGGACAGATAGATGAATTAATCAGTAGATTATGCATTTAAATAAATTATAGTAATTATCTATATAACATTAAGCATTTCCTGTTAAATAAATGTTTTAAGCCCCTATTTTACATATAGTATGTCCAGATAGATTACAGAAATATAGAAGAACTTGAAAAATAGCATTTGGCTTGAATTGTTTAATGTTAAATCTGGTGTCTAAAGATAAACTACATTAGAGTTTTTTTTTTTTTTTTTTCTGTTTTGGTTTTCAAAAGTTAAAGCCATATCTTCCTCCTCTGGGTTTAAATAAATATTTTGAACTGCAGATTGATTCACCATTTTATATCTCTAGAGGGCATAAATACTATAAATTCTTTATCTGATAATAAGTAAATTCCATCAGCAACTATATGGCAGTCACCTTGTTTCAAGGTTAAATCTATTGCTTTTTTTTTTTTTTTTTTTTTTGTATGCTTTCCTTTCCTGCACAAGTTGGAAGTTATGGTACTGAACTTGAATTATTGAAAATTGGGGATTATATTTATGTGAAGCTGTCTCCCCACCCCAGTCTCAGTGCTTTGGTTCTAAAAGTGAGGTACTGTTTTCATTGTTTCATGTGGTTCTTTAGTGATGCTGAGTACCTTCATAAATAGAAATACTGGAAACACAAATTTGTGGGTGATTGAAGAGAGGAAATCCTCAAAAATAACAGTAGATTACATTAACTGCCCTCAATGGGATGCTTAATGTGACAATTTCACTTTATTGCTGACTAGGTTTTTCTTTCAAATGTGTTGCATTGTCCTGTGGCTAGAAACACCGCCTACATTTTTCAACTTTGATTTGGATTCTTGCTTCATATATTGAATATAATTCCTGAACCCTTTGTTATTTTTATTTTCTTGTACAGTTAGCTTATGGCCACATAACAACTTGCAATATTGAGGAGTCTCTGTTGCTCATTTAAAAAAAGAAAAGTAATTTAAAGCCCCTTAGAACTTGTTGTGGACGCCTTATTCTATTTCTCTCTTTCTGTAGGTAATTAAGCATTCCAAAATGAAAATGCAGAGTCTTCTGTATCTGTATGCTATGGATGAATGGTTATTCTTTATTTCTATGGTACTGAAGTGTGATTGCAGCGATAGAAATGTTCAAGTTTTTCTCTGTTTGAAAGGCTCCCTGATACCCATTGAGTTTGAATGTTCTAAAAAATGCCAGAAAATATGTTTAATCCTCATGTAGGTGATATGTATGTGTGTGTACACACACACACACACACACACACACACATATACAGAAATGATAGATCTATGTTTTATGACAAATCTGTGCCTACTTAATATTTTCCTATTTTGGGGGGTATTGCAAAAGAGAATACTATCTTAAGTTTGGCTGTTTGATATTGTTTTAAAATTAGAAACATGTTTCTATTTCTAGTATAGGATTGTTTGTACCTGGATGATCTTTCCAATGTTTCTGTCCTGTGCTAATAAGTTGTTTTCCTTCAGGTCATTGACCCTTTAAATTGAATAACAACAGGCACAACTATGGGAGTCGTTCCCTGGAAAGTAACTTTACCTACTTAAATAGTAATCTCTCTTAAGAGGACTGTAAATTAAATCAACAACAACAACAACAAAAAAGTCAACCTAGTACTACCACACCCTGAACTTTTCAGAACAGCATCAGTGCCTCACCAAACCCCAGGTTGAATTAAGTTACATAGTACCCTGTGTTCACCATTACTCTTTAACAACATTGTAGTATTGATTGAGCACTTACAATATGCTAGGCATCGCCAGGCCATGATACAAGAGGCATGCACAAGATAGGCTGACATGCTGCTGATAACTCTGACATTTACGTGTGTCTCTTGCTTTGCCAATGGCCAGGATCATGTCCTGTGTGTTAGTTATTTTATGCCTTTCCCCAGTGCCAAATACCTAGTTAAATGTGTAGGCATTCAGTAATCTGTAGCTAGAAACAACAGACATCATCTAGTACACACTCCTACTCTTACTTCACACTTTGCGAAGTTAAACAATTGTAGGTTGTGCATATAATTATAAAAATTTCTTTCATATAAATCTTAAAGACTGTGAGTAACATTAAATCATCTTTATAGAACATGCATTTAATCAACTTTAGAAGGGTTATGTACCTGTTTAAAGTAAATCTCAAAAAATATTGAGCAAAATAGAGAATGAAACCTCTTCCATGAATGGACTGTGCCCCAGGCTATTTCCTGCCTCCTTAAGAATTGTCAATGGCTTTAGAAGGAAGCTCACCATATCTGACTTCTTTTCTCTACCCAAAATTGTTGCTTGTTTCCACTCAAAAGTGAAACAAGCAAAACTAATTTATAAGCTAAAAAGATAGGGAGGAAACTATCTTTAGTTTATAAACAGGAGGCAGTTCTAGGATCAAAGGGGCAACTATAGTGGATATAATAGTATAAATATATTGAAGTGCACATTGATTTTTAAAAATCAGTTGGGGAATTATCCTGTTTTTTTTTTAAAGCAAAATTTTAGTATTTTTTATGTCAATATGCTCATGACAATTTTGGCATATTTTTAGTTTAAGTGTACAGTGAGTTGAAACAAAATCCATATTAATATTTTTAGTAAGTTATAAATATTTTAATATTCTCATTTGTTAAAATTTACTATATATGAAACACTACCTGATTGTATATGCTTGAGCTTTCAAACATGTTACCACTTATAAAATGGGGAGTATTTTTCATACCTAGAGTTGAATTTGACCATAGTTCTCTTAGATTGATTCTAGTAAATTTCAATTGTGGCAGAATAACTTCAACAGCTCAAAAGAGTGTATTGTTGAAGTAGTTTCTGGAGATGTTGGTTTTGGAGAGTGGGGATCCTTGGTTTCACTCTGAGTTTCACTCTTTCAGTGGCACCAGCCAGTTTCGCCAAAAAGCCGAGACTCATTTATATCCCAAAGGGCAGGTGTATTATAAAACATGAGAGAAGGAAAAGGACACTTGCATAGGCACAAGCAGACAGCACAGACTGTCCTGAAAGGGACAGGTTTGCTTCAGAAGCCTACATGGTTGCAGCCAGGTAGCCTTGGGAGGAAGGAGAGTGGCCTCTGCTGAGGGAGGTCAGTGCGGAGAAGCACCTGCCTGGTCACGGGCAAGCAGGAGGCTGCTGCCCTGCAGAGAGGCAGAGTTGGTGGCCAGGAGCTTCTGCATGGTCACAGGCCAGCACAAGATTTGCTGTCCTGGGCCTGTGGAGAGGCTGCGCTGATATAGTCTTCTCTTTGGGAGGGGCTTACTCCTTTGTGGAGTGGTATGTTTTGTTGATTTTTTGATAATTATGTAGCATCTGAAAAGGACCAAAGATTCTGCAGTGGCCCTCAATCTCCATATCTTTTCCTCCCATCTGCACCCTCTGACACTAACAGCAGTTGGACCATTTGCCTGGGGATGTGCCTTGGCTCCTAAGGATTTTTAGTTCCTGTAGCTGATTTAAAGACCATATTAATCACTTCTACCCCCCTAAAATTGTTTGAGTCAGGTTTCTGGTTTTGTGGTTTCTCCTTTCTTACATTTCTATTCAGGTCTCCCATGATCACCATTTTTTTAAATTTTTTATTATTTTTTAAATTTCTAGTGATCATCTTAATGTCTTTCAAGGTTAGCACATATAGGGTTGTAGTGGAGAATCCACTCACCCCTCTGGGTTATGGGAATGATCTAGCAAACAAATTACATCAGCTAGATTAGTGGGAGAAAAAGAAAAAAAAATTCATTACATATGTATGGACAATATATATGGCTATAAATCCCAAAGGAAATAAGAGACAGAATTTATACCGTAGGTTATAGGATCAGATATGGGCTTTTGGGTTTCAAGCAGGGAGAAGGGGTTTCTTACATAATGAGGAAAGTATGGCTTCATATGACAAAACCCTGCCTCTGGATGTTTGCTCTGACTTAAGATAGGCTATTGTATTTTTGTGTGTGTGTGAATGAATGAATGGTTATTTCTGAAGATGACCCCAATCTGGGTAATTTTCATTCTTTCAAGTAATGGTGAGTGTTTCTCTTGAGAACTACTGGACTTTGATTGACCTTAACTCCACATGTGAAGGTTACACATTCTGAGTACATGTCCTTGAACATTTTTGGAGATGTCAGTACTATAAAGGAAGTATGTAGTTGTGCCTAATTTGGACCCTAATGTAGATGTTGGTTAGATGAGGTTAGAATCATAGCTGGTTTGACAGCTTAAAAAATAACCCATGCTTAGGACAGATGAGAGGGTTTTCTGTGAATGGCCTGCCTTGGTAGCCCTTAAGGCTGTGCTTTTTTGACTAGACATTTTATGCTGATTCTGATTCTTGAAACTTTTGTCTTCTTGACCTGCAGTGATAACTATGAATGAGTTTTTTTGCCTTTCTACTAATATATTTTTTTTTATTAAAAAGTTTATTTTTACATCATTTTGCACATTTGTTTTTCATCTCAATTGTAATCCC